GCGCAACGTGGCCGTTGAGAACTGCGCAACGTAGGGTTGACGCTGATCCGTACCATGATCCCAGAAAGCGCGTCGATGCGACGCGCATTGTACGTGACTACGGCAGGAACATCGTAATTTACGCTTACTTCGGGTGCTCACTCTGTCTAAACGGCTTATCTCTTGAAAGCTCATTGTAATCCTGCAGTTTCCATGATCATACGATTTCAAGGCAAGCAGTTACCATTTCAACTGACTGCTTGCTTTTTCCTGACGGAAAAGTGTCAACATAAGAGAGAATACTCAGTTCTGATGAAAAGTATCTACTCGCTAGCGAGCAGATGGAGGACGGTAGTCGCAGAGACTATTGCATTGATACATTCGGTTACAAAGAAAATTTTGATTATCGGTGTTTATTATGACTCAACTTTATGTTATCGTGCGGAGAAAGGTACGAAGTGCTGAAGTCAAGTTTTTTTTTATTATTAAGGTGATACCTCATTCTACAGCTGTCGGATAAATTGTTAGGAAAAGTAGAAAAACTTGGAGGCAGTGATCACGATAGATGTAGGGCGGGTGGATTAAATGACGCCACTACCGCCATTGGTGGATTCAGCCTCAGCGCGCTGGGTAATGTAACCTCTTATTGCCCTTTTACCAATGGATCAATGTGGTCATCATAGCAACGCCCTCCAGCCATTGCGGTCACTGTATTCAATGGGAAACCCCGAAGTCAAAAACAAGGCATCGCCCTCTTTTATAGAACGAGTTCTCTTTTTCACTGACTATATGTATCAACCTGAAGGATTACACACATTTTCCAGTTTAGCCGGCGTTTGCTTCAGTTTTCGTCCTGCCACCGCCCACCGATTCGCCAGTTCCAAGTAGGATTCGCTTTCTCTTGCTGTTTTCAGATCTGGATCCTTTTCCACTTTCCTGTGCCTTACCCTTGATGACTTCTTCACAACACGAATTACCGGTTTTCCACGTGGAGGAGAATACACAAATTTGCTATCGGATGATGTCGATCCTTTGGCCGTGTCTGTTGATGCCGTCACCGGTTTACCACTTGATCTGTCGGAGGGAAGCCTTCCAGTGGTGCTGGCAGGCGTGCGATTTGACGACATTCGGCCTGGAGCCCTAGGTGATTTGCCCTCTCCTTTTCTCACTTGGGCGAAAGGTGTAGGACTTTTTCCGGATTTCTTTGATGCTCTCCTCTCATCATCACTTTGTTTCATTTGCTGTCTCGATTTCTCTATATTTTCTCTGGCTCGCTGAATCTGTAAAAAAAGTACATAAATGGCTAATAAGCAAACCTACAAAGGGTGCGCACCTGTTCTTTAGAAGACTGAGTATGGAAAGTTTGCGGTTTCCTTATTTTCCTTCCAGCCACTCCGTACTGAGAGAGGGTCAGGTCCAAGTACGACTCCGACCTTTTCAGTTCTGGATGACCATCCTTTTTCTTTTTCTTCTTCTTCTTCTTTGCGGACGACGGTGGAGTTATTCTTCTTATGGATCTCCCCATGCTCGAAGGTTTCGAAGAAGAACTTGTAGGTTTCACTGCAGAAGGCGGTTTCTTCGAGCTTGTCTCCGATAACTTCTCCAGACAATTGATCCCATGGTGGTAGCTTTTTTGGTTCATGGGATTCAGGCTTTTTGGATTGCGCAGGCGTCATGCTTTTCTGTGATTTACGGGGTGTCCTTTCCGATTTGTAAGACGGAGTACTCTTCCGTTTTACCGCCTTCTGAGGGGTCTTCTGTGATATTGTAACTTGAGTAGGAGCTTCAGCATGTACGGGCGTTCGTGTAGAGGTTTTTGCAGAGAGCGGCTTTTTGGGAGGACGGTAAGGATCTTTAGGCTGGGAAGAGGCCTTTTTCCACCTATTAAGAATGACTGAGTGGTCGTGAAGCGGGGCACTGCGGGAATTTTGGTGCAAGTTCTTACGAGGACTGGCGTTTTGCCAGGACGGTAAGGATCTTTAGGCTGGGGAAGAGGCCTTTTTTCACCTTCTGCCACTGACTGACTGCTGGTAAAACAGGGCACAAGTGCTGTGGATGAGAATGGGGGTTTTTTGGAAGTGTCCTTGCATACTGGCGCTTTTCTCGATGATAATGAGCTTGAATCGGAGCTCTTCCATTTTGGTTGTGACTTCTTCAGGGATTGACTTGAGCCTACAGCACTGCTCCTCTGAGACGTCTGAGGCATCTGCTGCTTGTGCTTATCAGACGTGCTGAACTTCGTGTGACTAATAATCTCTGTCTTTGGTACATCCCCAACTTTCTCCGGATATTCGCTTTCTGGATAGATATTCACTTTGGTCGTTCTTTTCACATCCTTTTTTGTTTTTGGAGATTTCCCTGGAACATTTTGTGTTGTAGTCGTCGTAACTGTCGTTTCTATTGTTTCCTTTATATAGGTTTTCTTCCCTCGAGGGGTTTTCGAAGGGGTTGTGGACGCTTTTGAAGGCGTAGTAGATACCGTCCGTTTTGTTATCCCAAACTTGGGTGGTGGTGCAGAGGGTGTTCGGCTTGATGGCTTCTTACCGGGTGTTCTAATTGGCGTCCTCTTTAATGCTGACGGTGTTCTAGATGGTGTCCGCTTCAATGACCTTCTAGTAGGAGTCGCAGAGACCGTCCGTACTGATAAAACCTTCGGCGGCGTTCTATGTGGTACTCGCCTTGGTGTTTGCTTCCTTTCTATGGGACGCTTCTGTTGTTGTTCTAGTGGCGTAGGAAGATTCTTCACTTCCAGTTGTTGACAGGGTGGTACCGCTTGTGCAGAATATGTTCGAGTGACTTGACACGGCTCCTGCTCAACGTGAGTAGCTTTCATTTCAGTGAGATCCTTAGTCTTAATTTTTATCGGCCGCTTGGAGGTGGCAACGGACCTGAAAAAGCCACATTGTGTTCTACTATATTTTGTGCCTACGCTTGCAGAAGTCAACTTAAATGCTAAAAGAGCGCCAATTGGGTGATGCATGACCCAGGGAACAAAGTCGATAGTCCTCTGAGCTCAAGGGCAGGAGAGCTGTGACATTATCTTAATGCTATCCGGAACCAGAATTCACCATAAGGTTTGGGCTCATATACCAATATCAGATGTGTTCTGGTTCTTCCCACGATCGACTTTCGTTTATTCTTGGCATAGTTGGAACAGATGAATACTTGATTGTAGCCAACCGAGTTCAGGTAACATAGGGGTAATGCGAGTTGTCTTCTCCAGCACCTCCGCAATATGAAGACGCCTCCCATATCTTAGTAAACCACCTAACGGTATCTACGAATGTGATCAATCTAAGGCAAAAGTCGGGCTCAATAGGGGGTATTATGGCGATTGAAACTGAGTATAGAGATGCGAAGTGGAACGACAGTGGAGAAAAAACTGAGAAAAACCGTCGACAAGGCCGTTAACAAAACCCTCTTCCCACTAGCAGTGAAGGAGGCTGGCTTGGGGAAAGAGGCACGTACAAACAAGTTTTCTGGAGATGTCAGTCGTTCTATCGGTTGATACGGCAATCAACCTAGCTGACACGTTATGCCAGCCACGCACCACTTCCGGAGGTGGGCGGTCCTGGATTGACCAGGCGGCCCTGGATTGAAACCGAACGCCCCGGGGCCTTAACGGGGTTTTTCAAGGTGGGAAGTTGCTGCAATGTGTGCAGCTACCCACATACAACCTCCAGGCACGGGAATTACTTCTCTAGCGTGCCTGAGCCCGACCTTTGCCTTTAAATGTTGAACTTAGCTACTTAAAAGAGATTAAAATAATAGTCATCAATAAATATAGATCCAAATATAGATGAAATATGGATCCAAACAGTAAAGTTTCAGCAATGGCGCATGCGATTTGTAGCATCGTTGTTGAAATTTCTTATTGTAACACCCACTCTGCATCTGAATCGTAGTTTATGTAGACGTTGTCAGCATGTACGATTGTGACCCCAGCATCATCGCCATTCCTGATTTCTACGCCTTGAGCACTGTCACGTTTCTTCTTCATTAAATATTGTTTACTACACCTGAAACGTGTTCTCATGGAATAAATACTCATAAGTCATATTTGAATTCATGACTCTTGAACCCATTCGCGACCGCGCGGGATTGCGCAATAGCAGGAGAGTCAGGAGATTTTTCTTCAATAAAATTTGAGTGGATGGAGATTTCCCCTGCCCAGGGCTGGCGTAGATGAATGAGGGTATGAAGATTCTTTTCAGGAAAGAAAACTTTCCAAATTCCATTTGAAACACGGCAGCCACCGGTGGATACCATTGTCCCGAGTGAGATCTTTGGCAGCCACCGGTGGCTGCCATTGTCACGAATGGGTTAATCGATGAAAAAGGCCAAATGTTTCTGTGATGAGGAAGAATAAAGGGATGGTGGGCTAGAAAATAATCTAATACCCATTCGTCAGGTGAGAGAAGCTATCCTTTCTACTATCCCTTTTATGTATGTATTACCCGAAGATGTTCCTTGAATGCAGGATGGGAATCGCAGAGGAATAGGGTAGTCAAGTATGGGAATAGGTGGAACTTTTTTCTCCACTACTATTATACATTAATTTTGTTTTGTAATATGCGATAATAACAAAC